ATTATCATTATTATAAACATTATTATTATCATTATTGTTGTTGTTGTTTTTCTTGCTGTTGTCTGAGTGAGCCTGGGCAGTAGCAAGTGCATCTATTCCACACATTAAACAGGTTTCAATATGTATGGGGAGGGGGGGGGGGTTGTTTGTTAGTACAACTGATCCATTCTTTTAAATCTTTATCAACAGCAGTTCAGACCATGAATAGTTTTTTAGAACATTCTCTTAACTACTTGTAGCCAGAAACCTAGCAGCTCTTCCTCGTACATGTACATAGCTCAGCCACATTTGACTTGCGGTAGGAAGTATAGCAAGTGAGACTCTCAGTATGGCTTGAAGATGCCATTCAGTAAGTTTGGATTTGCCCTATGACTTTTAAAAGTTCATAGTGGAAAAGAAGACTATATTTTAACACTGCCTACCGAAAACGACTCAACTTTAGGTCGCTCCTTTTGGGATTAGAACCCTGGCCGATCGCTTCGTAGTCCATCATGTTACTGAGTTAATGGTGCACCCAATGATGGTTTTGTTTTTTGTTGGTTTTTTTGGTGTTTTTTTGGAGGGGGTTGTAAGTGTTTTACGGCGCTCGCAACTTCATAAGGTCATATGAGCACGCCGGACACATTAATCATTTTCAGTTGATAGGAAATTTTGAATTGTGCCGGGGTGACGGCCGAAGCCTACTCATCGATTTGTGACCACCAAGGGATCTTTAACGTGCGCAACTTGCACACGAGACCTCCGAGATTTTTCGCCCTTGTCTCAGAAGGCTAGATGTAGATCTTTCCTACCATAAGATAAGGGGTGTGGCTGAAAGACAGCCATAAGAAACACCCAAGGAGTAGCAGTAAAAAGGCTGTAGTAAGAGTCAGGGGCCCAGAGGAAGGGGCAAATTAACGAGGTGAGGGGTGGGGGCAGAAAGTGGAGACGACAGCAGACGACAGAACATTGAGAGCAGGAAAGAAGGTGAAAGGATAAAATTTAGAAAAGAAAAATTACCGTCGCTATCCGGATTCGAACCCGGGACTTATTGAATGAGAGACGAACACCTTAACCTCTAGGCCACGAGAGCCCCGTTTTCTTTTTCTACTACTACAGTCTGCTACTGCAGCTGCTGCTGCTGCTGCTACTACTACT